AGAAATTGTTTGTCTTCGTCATCTGAAATGTTAGGCTAAGTTTTGTCAATTTGATTATTATCAAAAGTATAATTGCAAATTCAATAACTTACATAATTTTTAAAGTAATGTTTAGGAGGGATCAAATTTATGACAGAATCAATGAAATCGCTATGGGTTTTTATTCTATCCTAAAAAAAATTACAATCAACACTAATATAAGAATTGAGTATAGGTTGCATAATAAGAAAAAGAAAAAGTTAGATAACGTACAATTGATGAATAAAGTAATGTATTGATTCAATTCATTCATTAGCTTAGTTTATGATTAATGATTAAATGTAAGTTTTATGTTAGTTAAAAAATAAAGCAGAAAAGTTCGAGAAACTGAAAAAAGAAGATCCTGATAAGGTAAATAATTTTAAAATGATATGATAATGTTTCAAATTTTAAATAACATCGATTTTGTGATTAGGCTGCAAAGTTGCGCGAAAATGAAGCATGGTCCAAAGCTCTACAAAAAGCTCAAGGCAAAAAAATTAAAGATGATCCTAAATTATTAAAGAAAACTATAAAAAATATCAATTTTAAAAAGAAAAGTAGTGAAAAGACATGGTACGATTTTTTGGTTGCATGCAATTCTTTTTTCTTTGTGAAAGCCTGATATTCAACAATATTAATATTTTATTTAGGAAAGAACGGATTAAAGCGGTTGATAAGGCTCAAGCTGAACGGCAACAAAAAAGGACTGCTAACATTCAGACTCGTATTGATGCAAAGAAAAATAAGGTAAGCAACATTTTCTCATGATGTTAATTTATTTTTTAACCATAATGCTAACTATTTATGAATATAGAAGCGCAAAAAATCTTAATGTACTTCGATTATACGCAATTTATTATTGTTATCTTATTGGCATACTATGTATCATTTGAGTGATGCAAAGTCACGTGGTCAAATTTCGTTTAAAATGAATCACGAGATGCTTTCGCTTACAAAAATTATAATTATACAGTATATACAATAATTTAAATTTCATACACTGATTATTTGTAATGTTATTTTAAGAAAATAATTTTAGGTGTCTATATTATTATGCATCAATCAGATATTCATTAATTATATCAAGTGATTCATTTGACAATGAATTTCATTAATGATTTTTCGAAGCTTCCAGTCTTTATATAGACATGCAGATTTTTGCGGGGTCGCTATTTTTCTCCGAATTTAGCATAAAGTCATTTAATTCCGCAGTTATTGTTTTATTGTTTCACAACAAAACGTTGTCCGTTGATTAAATTGAGTTCGATTTACGTTAGATGCCCAAAAATAAACATAAAACACTTCCTTCTGCAGCAGGTGGTACGAAATTGTGCATCTGAATATTTGGCGTAAAAGTAAGACCCTGAATGAGGTGACAAAAGAACTAAAAGATGGTGACATGATTGAATTGCAAATCAATAGACCAATTAGGTAGGATTTTGCAATGCTTTGACACAATTGAATTGCAAACAATGGATACATAAAAGAATGGAAAACGTCACAACTATGCGACATGTGAGTAACTAGGAAGACACATATTTGTACTCCACTTTTCTGTTCAAAGTTTTCTCAACGGCTTTCTTGGTCGAAACCTACCAAAAGTTCACCAGAAAATTAGATTAAAAATCCCTCCACCATCCAACAGGTAGACTTTCTTTAATTTCTACTCATTCGATTCACAATGGGCTCTTCGACTGCTTCCCCAGAGACAAGTCCAGCGAGGGCTGACAAAGCTAGGTAAGTATTTATATATAAAATATTATACTTTTGTAAATAGTTAAAATGATACTATAGTATAAAACTTAAGATGACTAATATATTTATACTTGGTAGAAAACCCGGAAGCGAAATTTATGTTCCTAAACAAAGACGTGGCTCAACTGGCGAAGAGTTATCTCCGGTTGGAGATTCTGCTAATAATAACATTAATGACACTTCTGAAAACCAAGACAACGGAGTTATTAGAAAAGGTCGAGGCAAATTTCGTGGTCCTGGTAGTGATACTCAACAAGACCAACAAAACTCTAGGGCTCCGAGAGGTCGCGATTTTGACGCAACTGTTTTACGACAATATCCACCCAAAGGAGGTGAAAAACCTTCAAAAGGTCATGCTAAGAAAAAATCAAAATCTGATAGTAGGCGAAATAGCAATGGGCAACAAGGCTCTGAAAGTGGTGGATCCGGTAGTGAAAACAATGCCTCCGACGACATCACCAAAATTACTAATTCACTTGAAAATGTCAATATTGGTGATAACGAAAATGATAACAATCCTACCATTCAAATTAACGACACATCAACAATCCCTCAAGAAGGACAACAAAATGTTGAAGAATGGGAAAAGAATGCTGCGAATGGAGAGGTGAAGACTAAGGATGACGTCTCTAGCCCAATTACCAGTCCTGTAGATGGCGCTTCGAATCCGTTTGATTGGAGTACTAGACAGAAGGAAGGTCAAAAGACCGATAACCGTCCACCAGGCTTTAAAAAGGGGCATAAAAAAAGCAAAAGCAGCAAAATTGATTTTAATTTTGATCCAGGTACGTCTTATTAATTTAAAATTCTTTCTCAATTAATAATTTTAATAATTTTTTTAACATTGACTTATAATATTTATCATAGATGCGTATGAAGGATCAACTCGTATTCTTGATATCTTTGATTTCCCTCCATCCTTCAAGACACACCATCTTCATGAAATTTTCCAAGAATACGAAACTATGCGTGGTGGTTACCGTATTAAGTGGATGGAGGATACTCGTGCTTTAATCATCTTTGAACACCCTGCAACCGGTAATTTTTTGTGTACCTTCTCAAAACAATGCTGGCTCATATATAAAGTATTAATTAATATATAAAATTGGTTAATTAGCACGTAAAGCATATTTGGATAATGTCACTAATCAACTTGCCACCATTAAACCGTATGAGGGTCCCACGGATTTTCTTCAAAAAAGTAAGTTATACAATAAATATCTATTTTACATGATTTTTATTATCATATTATTTATACAATTTTGATTATATAGATCCTAATAATTCTGCGCAACGTATTCGCCCCGCCACTACTGATATGGTCGCCAAGCGTCTCGTTCATGGCGCCCTTGGTGTTCGTGTTCCTAGATCTCCTGAACAACGTCAAGTAGAAAATCAGATTCTTAGAACAGCTAGAGGTGCAAATTTTTATAATTAGGTTCACTTTAATTCATACATATAGTAATTCAATTTACTATTTATATTTGCATTAGATCAACGAGATCAAAAACGCAATGAGCAAATTAAACGATCCCAAGATTTGGACGCTGCTTTCGATGAATAATCGAGAAAGCATTCATATTTTGTTTATCTAAATGCATATATAACATGATCCAATTTTTTGTTTTGTTCAATTCCGCATATATGAACTCTTTCGGAATACATATGGAGGAGGATGTAACATTAAATGATTTGACCATTGATTAATTTTTTTAGTTCACCATCACAATTTCATTTCATCCATTACTCGTTTATTTATTTTTATTATTAATTTTTTTTTCTTCCAAAGAGGAAAAAAAAAACCCCCGCTAGCGAATATCACCTCCTTCATAGTTTTTCGCATCATTTTCCCATTTTTTCTTTTTCTTCTCTTTCTTTTGCCCTCTGATTCTTCTTTGTATAATACATCTGACGATATCTCTCAAAACCTTCTTGGAACTTTTTTGGAACTTTCTTGTAAAAAACTATTTCACCACCATTGACATTGAAATGCATGTTATATTGACGTAAAACACGGTTACACTGTGGTACGAATCTACTTTTCGTAACAAAATGAACGTTGATAATAGAATATAGGATTTATACGAAAGAATTAGCTTGGTTTGTTAAGAAAGATTATAACGTACCTTGAAGCTACCCTAACTTTCTCTGAATAGATATTTTTCATGAAAAACAAGGCCAAAGTAATGATGGCAACGAAAAGTAATAGTTTACTGAAAAACTGAAATGTAGGGTTCTAGAGCGAAATATAAATTATTTTCTTTTAATGAATAATAAGCTTAAAAGATCTGAATTGAAAAATGAACATACATCGCTTTTATATACAAAAACGGTATATAATAAAACAGGAAGTGACAAACAAATCGATCCCAGGAAAGCTAATAAAAAAAGTTTATCAAAGTCAATAAAAGATCTAACGAACAGGTTAAAATTTGTGTTTACCTTCATATTTATAGCTGCGCCTTTGTAATTGATGCAAATTTTGTTTCAATCTTTCTTCAAAAATTAAGAGATCTTTATATCTTTGATGATTAGAGGGAAGAGGTGTAGAAGGGTGAGCAGTATAGTTGTTAGTCGAAATAGTCGAAACCATTTTTGCTTGATGACGAAAGTCGAAACTTGAGCCCTAAATGACAAAACCTCTGTCGAAAGTTGAAACCTTAAATTCTTCTGACAAAAGTCGAAACCCTCAAATCCTTCTGACGAAAGTCGAAACCCCAAACTTAACAAAAAAATTAATGAAGCTGTTGATAAAAATAAACCCTATAAATTTATTATTGAGGCAATGCTGAAGCTGTTCATTGGCTTGACGTGGCGAAGGACTTAAAAATGTCCGGATGATCCACACGTGATATATTCATTAAATTATGATTGGGTAAAATTTGATCGCTACGTGCAGGTAATATTCTATCATGTGAATGAATATCTACAAAGATCGATCATGTGCATACATATAACCAATCATCATTCAAAGCTTTCTTATATCAAACGCTTGAAAATTAATAAATATTTATTTACAATTTTTTAATTAATTCACAATTTATATGTATACTAATTATTACTAGCTATAAATCATTGTCAAACGATAGAATATAAATTAATTGGTGATCCACCAGTCAACCAGAGAATGATTATAGTAAAATGTAACTCAAATTACTTATAAAAATTGAAGGTCTCTAAATGTGACATGCGCATATCTAAAACTTTTTTTTATACTAAGTTAGGCCACACAAAGTAAATTTCTTGGTTTTTATAACATAAAATAAAATTTTTAACCCGGCAACCCAGATTTTTCTTTTTTTTCTAAAAAAATTTTTTTTAAAATATTTATTAATTTAAAAATAATAAATACCAATATACTTATTAAAACATAATTTTTAAACAAATTTTTTGATTAATAATTATTAAATTCAATTCAACATTTACAATTTAAATATAAAGTTGATTAAAAACAAGACTACAAACTTTAAAACATCAACAAAATGTTAATATTTTTAGTTTGTAATATGCAAGTAATTGCAGTAGCGCAATAGTAAAAAAAATGACAATGATATAAACATATGTGAATTAATCACATATGTACATATATACGGCACAAGTTAAAAACCTCAAATAAATGTCTTAAATTATCGATCTCAGTAAAGTAAAGGATCAAGAATTCTTAGCCTCTTTGCATAGAAATAATATACCAAGCAACTATTCTATGCATATTGAAATAGGCTATTACTACGTTAGTTTTTTAGAGTTTCTGCACCATATATATTATACACTTAATCAAGATTCACATATTAGATATCATAGGCAGACATTTGTATGATTGGCTGTTTAAATCAATTTAATTTTACATTATTTATACAGTTTAAAGTACTTTTTAAAAAAAAGAAAACTACAAAGAATAAACAAAAAAGAAGTATATAGAAAGTTTTAGTAGGGTCGTAGGACTTCACTATTAAGAATAATCAAAATTCTTTTTTGTTTTAGAGAAGTTAGCATAATAATGACTTCTTAAAATTAGGTTATCACTATGCTAACTTCTCTAAAACAAAAAAGAATTTTGATTATTTTTAATAATGAAGT